GGTTACTCGTTCGCAAAACACGAAAAAAATGCAAAAAATTTCTTTCCATCAAATATAATTAATTTAATTGATTTGAAGCGAACATATCCTGCGGAGGCTACCTGCATCTCACTGACACTCGTAGCCAATTATAAATTTCTATTAAAACCACTGTGACCACCAAAGATGAGCGAAAGGACCGCAATTACCAAGATAAATAGCATTAATGCGTGTGTATATGTGCATGGGTGTGGGTGTAAATTGTTGGCTATTGAAAGCTCTACATCACTTTATGGCTTCGGGTCTACTATGAAAGCATATTGTGTCAAAAAATAATTGTAAATAAATAATTTACAGTAAAAGGTGGTTTTTGAGAAAAAAGTAATAACAAATACAACTATACGCTTTAAGTTTAAGAGACTCCACAGAAGTAAATACGCTTGCCATAACCAATATTAACCTTCTGCAATATTCATATCTTCCGTCAGGTGGTAGACGAGTCTTCTATCCACTACTTGATAGCTTTGCCTGCGAAATTTTCGATGCGGTGGGAGCCATGCGGATTGATGGTTTTCTTATGTCGAAATCTGGTGCTACGGACAACGATGTTTCGGCCTCGGTAAAGTCGATCAGCCTCAGTCTATTTGGTGAGTTTCCTTATAAAGGCTAAATTTTCCGACTGTTGAGCTATACATAGAGACCTGGTACCCATACAAAGCATCTTCTATCATTTTGTCCATCTCCTCCAACGTTGCGTGGACGCAAAAAATTGAAGACCTGGCGATTAACGTTTGGAGCACATTGAGTTTATGGAGGAGCCACTTTTCGAGTCTGAAAATAAAATGTCCGCATATAGGAAACCCGAGACCTAAATCGATGAATATTTTAGGCACGTTCCTTCATCTGAATGTGACGAAGTTGGAACAGCGATTTCCCACTTAGAGAATAACAAAGCGACTGGAACCAATGGCTCACCGACACAGCTATTCAAATATAGTGGCAAAATACTGGAAACTTGACGAAACAGCTTCTTGGAAGTATATTGTTGGTGGAGAACTTGCCAATTGGAATCTGTATATGCTCTGGCCAATCCCCAAAATGCGGACTTCGCAAAAACGAGCGTACTCTGTGAGAGATTGAAGCTGATCGTCAACTGATTAACTGAACCAAATACTTGGGCTGCGGACATAGCAAACACACTAATGACTAAATATTCCCATGAGAAGAGGACCGACTCACAACACCATTTTATACATTTCGAAGCAGCCTCTCTTTCTTTCTTTGAAGGTGTAGTCGATCTCGTCTTTCCCGACGAAAAGAGAGGCCAAACTCTACAAATTGCTCATAAATTCTGTCCTTTATTGCAAAAGCGGATGTTGAAGTCATTGAAGCTTTGGAGAAAGTCAGATTTTTGGTATTTTGCTTACCGGCGACTGAGAAGACCGCAGTAAATGGAACGACGAACCGGACGAGTTGTACGGCGATAGGGACATAATTCAGGGAGTTCACATGGACGGAAGCTCTTCAACCGTGAAGGTATTCACGGCATAAAAGAAAGACTTTCACTGCATTGGAAAGGTCCGGTAGAAGAAGCGAGCTACACTTGGTATCTCCAAGTAGTGTTTAACGCCGAATAAGAGAAATGCTTGGCATATTGTTGTTAATTAGGCTATGGCATAAGCGGCGTCTACAAGAAAAACTAAAATGAGACTGCAAGTTGTTCATCCACTGGGGTGAATGCCAATACTCGGCAACCGAATCTCCCATCTTCCGTGAAATCTAACATCAAATTTGGGCTTCAAGGATATCACCTTGTCAGCTTTTTCAGGCATTCTAGGTGTATGGCTTCAAATTGAGATTCCTGAAACGCAACGCGGTGTTTCTCATCCTAGGCATTTTGTAGTTGTCGCTGACGCAGATCCCTACTCGTTACCTCAGGGAGTGAAAGTGAAGGTCTGCCTTCTTAACTTAGTTTGTCTATAAACGAACATACTTGGTATAAGATCGGAAGACGTAAGTCGTTCAGCCATTGTTCTGGTCCCTCTTCTCGTGACCATTCCATCCTTCATCTAAAGTCCGCTTTCCATAATTGGTAAGAGCTACTATAGTAACTTAATTGTATAATTAAATATTTATTAGCGGCCTTTTCGATTCGAAATCCCATTATTTCACAACTTCCCCAATTTCTGACTTTCAGTGCTTGGAGGGTCGTGTAATAATCAGAAATAAATCACTTGGGATTTAGAGCGTTGTTTCGCCCTTCACTACTGAGCAAATATTTACAAATAAATGAGATTCTTCACCAGAAAGGAAGCATATTTTGCTTAAAAAAAGCGATAACTACAACGAAAAAAGGATAAAGAAAAAAAACAGCGAAAGAAGGTGGGCGCCAACGCTTAAATAGACATAAATTTTTCATAAACTTTTGCATGCTCATTAAAAATTCGATTAATCGCTTGTTTCCACTCAATAAACTCGAAAATAAACTCCAAACAAACAATAGCCAACAATCCATAGCCACTTGCACCAAGCTCAGAAGGACAAGTATAGGTAAAGAGGAAGTTTAAGGAATGAGAGGGCAAAGAAAACAAAGAAATTGTAAACTTCTGCATTTGAAAAAAAATGGGGAGGAGAAGAAAAACAATAAAAAAACATTGGCAATAAAAGCTACAACAGCAAAATGTTTATTGCAAAGTAGTCGAACACACTCACATACACACACACACACACACACACTCAACAAACACACAAATTCAGAACAAGCGGGATGGCGCTCGATGGCATGCCACGTAATGTCGTCGAAAATGAAAAGCAAACAATTAATGAAACGAAATGTCAACAAAACTCAATCAAAACGCACTTAAAAATGCACAAGGCTTTATGCGCTTACATGAGTGTACTTGTGGGTGTATATGTGCGTATGTGTGTATGTGTGGATGTGGGTGTGAGTGTGCCTGAGTGAAAGCTAAAGCTAAAGTATTAGCCTCAAACATGGATTGACTGGGATGGCAATGCTTGTGACGATTGGCTGGGGTTCTCGCAGTTACTCCACTCTGTTGTTGTTGTTTTAGCTAGCAATTTAACTGCAAACGTAAACAAATCCGCGTAAGTCAAAGCAAAGCAGTAGCAGTAACAGTAACAGTAACAGAAAAAATGAAAACAAGTATTGGTAAACAAATGAAATACGAGCGAAAGCAGTAGTGATTGCTGGATGGTTGCTTTCGACGTTTAGTGTCAGCAATCTTATAGCCTACATGAGCTTTGGAGACATTTTCTGAGCGCAAAAGATTTTGTAAAGTGGCTTTTCTTCGAAAACATCAACATGAACAGCTTTAGTTATAATAATTCACTAGGCTTAAAACAAACTTAAAGCTCTGTATGATGCTTTTATGTTAAAAGCGCAAATATAAAGCTTTTATGGTAGCTAAAGTCAGACTTTTACCTTTTTTTTTGCTCCTGTTGATAATTAAAAAATAATTTTAGCAGCTTTTAAAAGCTTTGCCCAAATGCATAATGCACAAACGGTTTCTTTAAATATGTTTCTAGTGAAAAAATAACTAAATTATTTCAGCTATTGCTCTAAAAGAAGTTTAAAATAAGTATGAAGTTAAGCAAAAAAAGCTTGTTGTTTTGAGAAGTTTAGCAGAAAGCTTCTTGGGTAGCCAGCAATTTTTTAAATTATTCAAATAAAAAGCACTAACTATGTTTTTAACTATAATTAAACTAAATTTTATTAATAATTAACAATAAAACTAAAATTTAAAACTACTAAAATGAAAAGCTTTTGGCTTTAAAAGTTTACGCAGAAAGCTTTCAAGACCAATCAGTGTATGTTATATCTAAATTAATCAAAAAATTTTATATTATTACCGATAATTAAACTCGATTCCGAGAACATTTAACAATACAACCTTTTAGTGAAAGCTTTTGCAATCAAATTATGCCTTTTTTTTAAATCATAAGAGCTTTCATGAAAGTTTAAAAATAAAACTATTCGATTTTTCATCAAAAGTCACTTCAAGTTTTGTACCTCAATCACCTTTTTTAAAGCCTAATCGTCTAAATTTTCTATGAAAATAAAATATCTGTGATTTACTCAGCAAAAATTTTTTTTTTGTTTTGCTGCTCAGTTGGTATAATGAAATCCTTTTAACCCACTTAATCCATGCTACAAAAGCGCGTCGCTAATTGAAATTTCCAATACCGATTTAATCGCGTATCCTTTGCAAAAACTCCGAACAAGTTTCCTACATCTCAACAGCACACCGAACGCTCATTTTTCCTTATTTTCCAATTTTATTGATTCCTGTGTGTTTAGAACTCGTAACAATTCTTTTTTCCGCGCCCATTACATAGCTCACTTGCTTACAAATGTTGATTTTTCCTACATTTAATATTGACAGCTTTCCATTTTGTGCTGGCAAATAGTTCGTAGTGTGTCTTCCTTTGGGGCCATAGTCGATTTGAAAATGAAGAGCTTTTTAAAGCTTTTTAAAGTAATTTTTCGAGCAATTATTGGCTGAGTGGTGATATGGAAGGCTCAGAAGCTTTAAGCTCTCGTCGTGAATTAAGACACGCTTACAGAAGCTTTTGTAAATTAATTTTAAGTCAAAATGCTGTGTATCTAGAAAGCCTTATTTGACCTTTTTCGAGGATTTCCTACAATAAAAAATATTATTTTTGGAATGTCGTAATTTTTTTTGCGAATTTAAACTAAAACTTTCATTGCGTGCCAGAAAAAATGAGAAGATAAATTTTATTCTCAATCAAGCATGAAATTTCCATTCCATAAGTATTTTAGTTAATTTCAGAGTAATTATAATTCGATTGAAATTTCAGTTATTATAAATAGATCGATGGAGAGATATGGACTCATATAAAAGCTTCCGACTGTAGGTCAGCTCGTATATATTTTTAAATGAATTCCCGTTAAACGTTTTCAAAGCTTATAAATGTGATTGAAACTTCTGACTGGGAAAAATTACATAAAAACAATTCTATGATTTATACAATCAGTCTTCTCTGCATGTTAATCAGCGCTGCAGTGCAAAATGTGAAGGTAAGAAGACCAAAATAACTTTAACCACCATTGAGCTTCATTTCAAACCACTTCCAGACACGTACCATCACGTTCTCAGTCAACATGTCTCTAACAATGGACGAGCAACGTCAACGGCCTTTGTTGTGCAATGGTCAAGCACAACAACGAACGCGACCCTCAATCACCGCCGCAGTCTTGCGTTCATGTATGAAGGAAACCGAACTCTCCATGGCTGAATTGCGCCGCTTTCGCCTAAGCTTGCTCTCCCATGAGCCCCAGGAGGCAAATGCGTTTGATGAGTCAACAACGGAACAACCGAGTCTCGGCGAAATGGCCGATGCTGATTTCTCCGAAGAAGAAGATATAGATGGCATTGTTTATGAAACTGAATCGGCTGTAGTTATGGAACCCACAAGTATTGCTGTGGAGCATGAAGAGCCCGTAGCATTTAAAATCGATGGCAAAAGTGATGAATCCTTGCAGTGTTTCGCCTATTGTCTCTATGAACAATTAGGACTCATTTCGAAAGGTGTTTACATGGAGGAAGAACTCTTCGCCAAGTTATATGCTGTAGTGGGACGTGAACGGCATTTGGTGAAGGAGTGCATGGATTTAAATACGAATAATAAATGTGAGTCCTCATATAAAATGCATTTATGTTATGCGCGCTTGAAGACGCTTGAAGCTGAGAAACGTTTACATGATGTACTTGGGCCTATTGAAGGAGAGGAAAAAGATAGAGAAGAAGTGGAAATGACGCAAAAAATTACAACTCTGGAGAGTGTGGAAACAACGATGGAAACAGAACCAAATACGAAACCGAATCCAACGGTGGAAGCAGACACAACATTGGAATCGAAATCAATGATGGAACCAGAAAAAACGATGTATCCGTTTATATTTCAAGATTATGCGGAAGACGAGTATACCAAACTCAATATGAAGAAGAAAATGAAAAAATTTATAAAAAAATTGAAATCAGAGGACTTAACCAATAGAAGTTACAATGAGCTACTTGGACGCTGAACTGAGTTTTGCAGGGAGAGGTTTTATTGTCTTTGGTAAGCGGAGGAAGATAGCAGAGAATATCATCCTCCGAAGATTTATGTAACATGCAGCGATTTATTTGTAAATTTGTCGTTATAGTAAAAAATAAACTCTAAGATAACCAGGGCGAATAAAGAAAAATCTTTCCAAACATTAGTTCCTTTTAATTTTTCACCGTAGTACAGCATATCTGATTATTTCACTTTCAAATGGATTACTTTTCGGAGAACTTATAAATAAGTTGTGCTAAATTTTCATTTTGTGACTTTTGTTTTATTCTGATAATATTTAAAAAATAAATTTTGTAAGCCCATGGCATTCACACAGACATTCTGGACACGATTCTGTTGATTGACTGGCTTTAATTAAATTATGTGTATGAAAATTATTAAAATTAGTAATTTTTTTACTTTATTATATTTTATATATTTTAAATTAATATATATTTTTTAATGACATTTTATTTTTTAATTTAAGTTTTTAATATATTTTAACTTATTTACTTTACTTTATTTTATATATTTTAATTTTTTATATAATTTAATTTAATTTAATTTAATTTTATTTTATTTTATTTTATTTTATTTTATTTTATTTAATTTCATTTAATTTTATTTAATTATATTTTATTTTATTTTATTTTATTTTATTTTATTTTATTTTATTTTATTTTATTTTATTTTATTTTATTTTATTTTATTTTATTTTATTTTATTTTATTTTATTTTATTTTATTTTATTTTATTTTGATCTACAATATTTTATTTTATTGCTTAATTTCATTCAAGTTTGAGATATTTGATATTTTTCGAACTCATCACTGTTATTGTGCTTAAAAATCGATATTTATGGTATGATGGGTTACTGAACCATGGAGCACTGTGTTTTTAATTTTATGAAATGGCTCCTAAAAAACTAATATGTATCTAAATAACTTAATCAGAAACATTAAATTCATTAACATAAAAACTGTACATGATTCTTCCGAAATTGTAAGCCAAAATAACCTTTTTTACTTTACCGAAAATTATTTTAATTGAATTAAACCAAATTAATTGATTATTTGAATAAGCCAATTGAGGTTGGCACCGAACAAAAGCAATGTAGATTTTTTAAGTAACGAAATATTGCTTCAAATATTATATAAAACACGAGTTTACGTAGAAAAATTATCAATTGAAAATTGAAATCAAAAGCAATGAAATCATTCGGTTTACTACAATCCTTCTTGGTGATTCTCATCATCGGTCCTATATCAGAGGTTAGTACGCAAATATTTATGTTTAATGGAATTATACATTTAATATTATACATCCTTCACCATTCTATAGCTCCTTGCAGCCGATGATAAAACTGCGCGTGAGTCCTGCATCAAGGAGGTCAACTTGAGCGCCGCTGATGCGAACAGTGTCAGAGGCACTGCGATGATTAGCAAACTCGTGCAAAATAATTCGGAATCTCTGAAGTGTTTCCAACTCTGCTACTACAAACAATTGGGCTTTCTAGATGCCAGTGGTAAAACAAATGGACAAAAAGTTCTCGAGTATATGTCGCAGGCTAGCGGTATTACCGATACAGCGAAATTAGTTGCCGCCTTGAGTGGCTGTGAATCGGTGAATGGTGCCAGCCAATGTGACAAGGTGTATCAGTTTGAGAAGTGCGCGCTGGGCAAGCTGGGTGTTTGAGTGGAGCAGGGTGTATGAAGAATGTGCACAATGGTACAGTGTAGTCATTTGTAGATAATTTTAGTTCAATGGAAAGGAAAATTTCGAATTTGAAATAAATTAACTCCATAAATATGGTGACAGTATGAGGGATCTTTTAATTTTCAGGACTTTTTTCTATTTGCGGTAATATGCTCTGCTTGTTAATAAATTAAATTTTTTTAGTTTTAAGAAATTCAGTATAAATTTATGGGTTTGTTTTTATCAATATACTTTATTGGGTCAGGTTTTGAGTTTTGCATGAAATTCTCGAAAACCCCTACAGGTTTGATTAATTAAATTTTTTAAATTATTTCTCTTCTTTTGTTACAACTTTTACTATTCTTTTATTGCTCACTACATTATTAACAATTAAATTAATGGCACCTTCTCCTGCATAAAACATTTATATATCTGATAAGCTGTATCGCATTCGTCGGCACCCTTCAGGCCATTACATTTGGCGAGCAAATCTTTCGACACACCGTTACCAGCAGGTGGCGCATGTACTTTCTTTCTTATACCAGCTTCATTTGGCATACCATTTGTTAGAATTCCTTTATTATCTTCGAGACATTTTAGAAAACATTTCGCCTTATTATCGATGGAATTGAAATCGCCCTTTTTCAAGGCTTCCAATTGTGCAACGCTTGCGCCTGATTCTTTCATGCAATCTTCGTAGATTTTATGGTTTCGCGCAGGTTTGTGTGACTTTAGCTGAGAAGAAAGAAATAGTAGATAATATTTTAAAAGTATTTAATTTTTTTTTTTCTTTTCTGAGGTTACCTCATTGGCAGCAGCAAGCGCGAAGAGCACTAAAAAGGTTATTAAGAAAATATTTGAATTCATTTTCTAATGACTTTTTACTTAGAAAATAGTATTTTATCGGAGTTTCAACTTCTACTGACAACACTTATCTATACCAAAGTTGTCAATTTTTGCACTTTTTATATATAAATGTCGCCAGATTTTTTACTTTTCTATAGTGTCTTACATATGTGCATGTGACTTTAAATAAAAATTTATGTTTCTGAAGAAAATTTTCGTAAAAATTTTATTGCAAGCACGTAGCCATTTAAAGCACAAAATTAGTGAAATAATTAATTTAATCGAAAGCTAATGGAAACAATTAAATTTATTGCTTCTATATACATGCATACATTTGTATATATGTATTTATATTCACATACTGATTTTCAGCATCATTAAAACCAAATCAGCTGATTTTATATTATTATTTTTCCACCTGCCAAATTACAGGAAGTTCACGCAAGGGTTAAGCACCATTGTTTATCATCGATTAATGTTAGAAAAACAATTTCAAATGGCAATTATTATTACTAAATAAACAATTTTCCAACAGCTAATGATACAGTCTAGACAAAGTGTGACCTTAAAGGTTTATTCGTAAGGTTTGAATGCTTTCGATAATGAGAAGTTTTAAATGATGCGTCACAGTATTTAAGAAAATAAATATGTAAAAAAATAAAAAAAATAAAGGGAATTTGCATTTAGTAATTTGCATTAAATGAGTTTTTGGCTATATTTTCCAACATCTAAGCATATTTATTTTGAAATGTTTTTAATTGTTTTTTTTTCATACTTTACGTTACTCTACCGGTAGATGGCGCAAACTCGAGTTGTTACGGAATGAAATAATCTTACACTTGTTTTACTCAAAAATTATAATTTTTTTAAAAAAAAATTACAAGCGTTTCACAGAATGTCGAGAAAACATTAAGGATACCTCAGCACATCAACAACTAAAAAAAATATTAAGAAAATTAAGAAAATTCTTCGATTTGATAAAACTCTAGGGACATGGCTTCAAATCATAGTTCTTAAAACATAAATTGAAACATGAAGTTCCTATTTTAAGGAACATATTTATAAGGTGAGCCTTAGCGATTCCTCAATCGAATATTTTGGAGAGGCTTCACTGGGGCTTTCTTTCTTTAAGTATCGACTTACAACTTTAAAAACCAACTTTGCTCATTATTTACATCCTGCAATATGAAGCAGAGACTTGGACAACGACTAAATCCGATGAGACTGCTTTAGTAGCTTTCGGCGTATATAACGTATTCAAAAAGGAAATGTATGCATTATTAATACTAAAATTGCTTCCACTCTTAAACACCCTACAGAAACTGAAAACCCAGCCTATGCCATTTTTCGAGAATATTTTAGATGCTGTTTTCCACTGTCGCACGGGACAATTAAATATGCAATGATATAGTGTATTCCTTGACATAATAAGTAACTATTTAAATAATGACTGGTTAACTACCAGATACAACAATTATCACCAGGTAATTTAATTCCAATTAAGTCTTTCGATCCTACTGTGGTAGAAGACGACGCAGTGAATTTCCCAATTTAATTCCCATTGAAATTTTTAGACATATCAGAAATACCACCACACAAACTTCGATCGAAAATAGGATTAGCGATTATTCTACTGCGTAAGTTTAACCCTCTTAAACTAGGTGATTAAAAGAATCACTGGAAACGTTTTGGGAGCAAAAAAAGTTCAAAGGAGAAACCGTTTTGTTACCATGTCTTTCGATGATACCATCCGATTCTTCCATACCATTTAAAAGGCTGTAGTTTCCCATTCGTTTAGCTTTCGCGATGTCTATAAAGAAATATCAAGGCCAAACAATGTCTATATGCGGCTTAGACTTGGAAAACCCATGTTTCACTCATGGTCAATAATACGTGGCGTGTTCACGAGTAGGAAGACCATCAAGTTTATTTGAATTAAAAGAGGACCGATTGAGATGAAATATTGTACATCGATTGGCGCTTCGTTGAACATCAACTGTGTATGTATCAAATAAAAATATTTAAAGTATTTATTAAAGAAATGTTATAAAAATTTAATGTTAAATTGTGCAAAATTTTGTCTTTCAAATTCTTCTTAAATCACTGAGCTACAGCAATGCGTGGTCGGGTCTGCTAGTAGTAGTTATAAAAAAAAGGAACATTTCTTATTATTACTGGAATAACCAATCACTGAGATGAGTTGATGTTTTTATAATTTACTCGAACCTTTCCCATTTCTTCTGTAAATATATGTTTATGTGAATAAAGACAACTCTCCACTCAAAGTAAAGCAATAAATTGCAAATATTTATATGCAAACTGTGTGGACTTTAGACGCAATCATTAATTGGGTGTCACGTTTTTAGAGTCTCTACCGGTTTCCCCAAAAAGCAAAATATATTAATGCTTTCATATATGTACATATATTAAGATGTATTTATGCTAATATTTATTTCTGTAATTTTGTTTTTGTTCTAAGATCAAAGTTCAGTCAAAAGAAACGCGAATTTGGCTGAAAGATTATCCGGCAGAAAAAAAAAACAAAAAAATAGAGAAAATAAAAATAAAATAATAAATAATTCGAAAATAAAAAAAAAAATTGTGTTAATTTCAAATCAATCTTTGCGGGTTTCGTTCGCTTATTAGTTCAAGCCATGACAATAAGATGACTTTGGTTGTTTTTTTTTTATTATAATAACTTAACGCTTCATCGTCGTTCATCTGCATATTTAATTAGCAAACGGTAGGCAAATTAATTTTTATAAGCCTGACTTTATGTGTTTTATTTTGCAATTTAAAAATTTATCTACAATACTTACATATGTGAGAGTGTATATGACTATTTTGTAGATTTATATATATATATATATGCATGTATGTATATACACATAGTGTACTTGAAATTATTTTAATGACCACTAAAAACCTCTGATGCTTATCAAATTTAATGATTTTGCTTTGTATAAAATAATGATTTAATTGTTCAATAAATGAGCAATGAGCAACAACAAAAGGTAATAAATATTTACATATGTACTATATATGTAGCTTTATATGGATTTAGTCACACTATGCTTTTGATAAGCAAATTTGTTTCTGAATTTTTTATCAAGGAATATCATTTTTATTTAGCTAAAATTGAACAAAATTTTAAATTATGCTGTAAAACCGTTAAAACGGTTCTAATCTATCTTGTTAGACAGTTAGCAAAAAATTTGATGTTTAATGAGAAAAGAAACTACAATAGTTGAAAAAAAGTAAATAAGAAATCGTAAAAAGTTTAAGGCGCCTAAATCTTCTTGGTGATTATATATTCAAAAAGGAAAATTTAGCTTTATTAATAATAAAATTATATCCACTCTTGAACATCCTACGGAGACTGAAATTCCAACCAAAAAACCTCTCCTATGCCCTTTTTAAAGAATATATTAGATGCTGCTTTTTTACTGTCGCACGGGACAACTAAATATGCTTTATCATTGCAAAGGCAAAGGTAATCTACCTAGCTTCATTTCAGAAAGTAGGTGGTATAATTATCTTTACTACTATTCCATAAAAAAAGCGCCAATATGAGCTCTCTCTCATATCCGTTGCAGCCAGAGACGGAAGCCGATATCAAGAAGATGACTTTTGGCAAAACTTAATGATAATCAAATGGGGCGAAAATGCATGCCACAAGCCAATGGTTAAGTTCAACGCTCGCTGCAACGTGTGGCACCTTCAAAAATATATTTTTTTTTTTGCATTTTTTTTTAAAGTTGCATGCAAGTTAATTTACGCTATTCTTTTTTATTGTTTTCAAGACTGATTAAATTTGAATAAATCAGTTGGCTTCTGCTTAATCAAGCTAATTTTTTAATTACATTGCTGTGAAATTAACAGTCGATGTACAACAAAATGTTTTTTTCTTTCCCAATAGACTTTGAACTTTATCTGAGTTTTTCTTTCTAACTTGCTTCGCTTTCAGTACATGGCACACGCTTCAAGTCCATTTTTATAGAGGTAGAGGTAGAATTGAGTAAACAATGGAGAATTATAATAACGAAAAAGAAATAAAAACAAAGGGATACTTCTGGGAATAAGACTTTGCTTGTACTTATAATAAAATTGTTAGAAAAAATATCGCATAGCCAAAAAAATATAAATATAAAAATATAAAGTAAAAAAATTGAGTAAAGCCAAGAAGATTGATTTCAATTGTGTATGTAAGTACTCGCATCGAATGCAAAAAATTACGAAAAAACCAGTAATGATGCCTACGGTGAGTTTGTACTTTTTCTAGTTTAATTGCTTGCCGGTTTCAGAGCTTTAATTGATGGGCATAGAAAGAAATAAAATAAATAAATTACAATGTATATAAAGTAATAAGAATTAAAGAAACAAAATAGCAAAGGATGGCGTAAGAAAGTAACAAATTATATACTGAATACACTTTATACTTTTATTTTTGTCAATTATCCACAGACATGATTTCGCTTTAAAACATAATAAGATAAAAATGAGCGATTGAATTATTTTCTAATAGAAAATTACCTATAGTTTTCGAATTTTAAAGGAAAAAAATAGAATAAAAAATTAAATTTATTCTAAAAAAAAGGATAAATAATATGTAATGAAACAAATTAGAACAAATTGAAAAAAAATATGTAAAATAAAATAAAAATAAAATTAAGCAAATAACTAAAATCCATAAAGAATATAATATTAAATAAAGTAAAATAATACAAAAGAAAGCAGTGTAAAATAAAATAAAACAAAATTAAAAAATATAAAAAAAATTTAAATAAAAAATTAAATAAATTAAAGCCAAATTAAATAATATAAAATAAATTTAAAAAAATAATAAAAAAGGGTTAATATTGTACAAAATAAAGAAAAAGTAAAATGAAATAAAATAAACAAAAATAAAAATTAAATAAAGCCAATTAAAATTATATAAAATAATATAAAATAAAATAAAATAAAATAAAANTTAAATAAAATAAAATTAAATAAAATTAAATTAAATAATGTGAAATGAAATACATCAACATAATACAAAAAAGTAAAGCAAAATGAAATAAATAAAAAAATTATAATATTATATTATAACTAAACTAAAGCTAAATTGAATAAGGTAAAATAAAATAAGGCAAAATTAGATACTGTAAAATAAAAAAAAATTATAAAATTTAAATAAAATAAAATAAAATAACATAAAAATTAACGATAAGTATAATAGAAAAAGAATATAAATTAAAAAAAAAAATTAAACCAAATAAAGTAAATTAAATTAAAATGAAAAAAATTAAATAAAGCAAATATATAATATACAAAGAGGAAAATAAACTAAAATGAACATAAACAAATAAATAAAATGAAAAAGTAGAGCAAAATAAACTAATATAAAACGAAATTAAACAAACTCAAATTAATTGCATCAAAGTGAACAAAACTAAATACATAAAATAATCATTTTAAGCTAAAAAAACAAAACAAATATGATATATAATCAAACAAAAGGATAAATATATTAAAACAAAATAAAATTAAATAAAGTAAATTAATTCAGCACAGATGAAAAAATTAAATTATATTAAATTTAAAAGAAAAAATTGGATTAAAGAAGCATTTTTATTTTAAATAAATTAAAACAAAATTCAATAAAATAAAATTATTAAGATAACATTAAATTATATTAAATTAAGATATCACAAAGCAGTATAAGGTTAAATAAAATTAAATTAAATTATATAATATATTAAAAAAATAACATCGGAGCTTCTGACAAATATACTAAATATTTATTAAATATAAAATTTATTACTTCTATCCAAATTCACTTCAACAGTATTTATATTTCTGAAAACAAAAATTGATCTGCATTACTAATGTAATAGAAATTGTAAAAATATATAATACATGTGCCCTCGTACATACGTGACCGTTTGTCAGTATAAGCGCTTTACTTATGTATGTATTTACCGGCTTTTTTGACGGCAACCATATACCGCATCACAGCTGTTTTAACAATAAGAGATAATAAAAACAAAATAAAATAACAAATTACCCCAAGTCAATGCGAATAGAATTCCAAAACAAAACAAAAAATTAAAGCCAGATTCATTTCATTTCTATGAGTATATAACAGAAAGGGAGAAAAGCAATAGCAACAAAACAAAAAATAGTAAGCAAATAATAATAATAAACAAAAACATTTAGCCATAAGCAGTATTGGACAGCTGTCGGCTTGAGTTGGTGTATAAAAAGACAATGCGCCCGCCAATTGACAATCAGTTTACAGCCAACACCTCAAGTGAGAACCAGAACTTGTTTTCTAAGCAAAACTTGTATTTAACAATAAAAAAATAAAATAATTCAAAAATCAAAAATCAACAAAAATGAAATTCTTCACAGTTGCTATTGTACTTGCCTTCGTTGCCGCCGCTGCTGCACAGGAGGTAAGCGAAGTTCTGAAACCAAAATTCGCTACAGAAAAATTTTGAATTATTGCAGTTCAATATCCCTTTTATTCCAAATAAAATGTTTCAAATAATTCCAGCTTATCAAATTGACCGACGAGCAAAAGCAAAAGGTTCACGCTTTGGGTGCTGAGTGTATCAAGGAGACTGGCGCCGCAGAGGAAGCTGTGCGCGCTGCTGGCAAAGGTGATTACAGCCAAGTCGATGGTAAGGTGAAGTGTTTCGCCAAGTGTCTGCAAGGAAAATTGGGCTATGTCGAAGATGGCAAACTCAATGAGGCAGCCATCCAGGCTTCGCTGGGCAAAATTGTTGGCGATGAACAGATTAAGGCCATCCAAGCTAAGTGCAACGGTGTTAAAGGCGCAGATGACTGTGACACCGCCTTTGAATTGCACAAATGCTATTTAGCTGAAAATGCTAATATTCAAATTTAAATGTGAAAGGTTTCTCTCTGTGATTATATTTGAAAATATTTGTAAAAAATAATCATTTTGATTTTTTAAAATATAATAAATTCAATATCTATTCGATTTTGAAAGTTAAATACGAATTTTAATTTTAATCTGAATATATATATGGAATTCGAGAATCACAAAATTGTACCAACAATTAAATAATATTCTAATATTTGTCAAAAACAACTCACAAATTTATTGAGACAAAAACAAATTATTTTAAAAATTTTTTTTATTAAAATGATATCGAGTTTTTAAAATAGATCCATATCCTACAAATAGAGTTTCCAGCATCTGCAATTCATCATTTATGTGAAAAAAGTAGCAATCAGACTTTGATTCCTCATGTTTCTCTCATAGAAAAAAAATGGGACAAACGATTTTAGGAGATTTCTCTTGAGCCCACTTCTTTACCAGCTAAAGCATTCGCCTTAGACATAAACAAAAGGTAATTACTTTTTTTCGTTGTTCTGATGAAACACAATTCCCCTCCTGCCGGCTAAAGCTCAGCACTTGGCAGTAGGAGTGTAGCCCATACTAGATGATTCCTTGCCAATCCCACCAAGACACAATAAAACCTTTTCTCGCCGTCATTTCAGGCTTGGAGACCATTTGTGCAGGCTCACTGCCATTCGACCGCTTTCGTTTTTCCGTTTAATGTTGCTGTAAGTGATCCACTTTACATTACCGGTCACCATCCGCTTCAGAAATGCTTTCATATTATCACAATTGAACTGCGATTCGTAGATGAAAATTAAGTCCATGAGAATTTTTAAGGTTAACTCCTGTGGCAGCCATACTTCAATGTGTATCCAGCCTTTTTCAAAGGGTTCCAAACTATTATTTGTGTAATGTTTAGATCCTGCATAATCAAAACAGTGTTCACATGATGGCTTGACTCGACTATTCCCATTATTTCATTGACATTTTCATCATCTGTCTAATGCCATCTAGCTTGATCCAATGGCACTTATAAAACGCGAGGTAGAAATCACTAAACCATCTTTTGCATTAATTATGGATAACTAGATAAAAGTAAATGAATTAAATTAGAGTTCTTTTCAGTTCAGTAGCTGCAATTTATATATCGTTTTAATAAATTGTTTACAAAATTGTGCTGAATGCATTTAAACGTTGCCTACATTGAGGCGGATTTTTCTGTCAAAGGCCTTACAAAAGACCTTAAACACACCTCTGACACCTTTTTTACATTTTAACCAATTTTTCTCTTATTTTTCAGCCACTTACTCGGAATTTCAAAATACAAGATTGTATTATTTTCACTTTTAGTTGCCAAATTCTTGCAAAAAGATCATTTAGTATTTTAAATGGCATAAATTGCTCCTGAAATGTAGCATTTTGTTAGGAATCCAATTTTTTCAGTACCTATTTCTATTGTAGTTGATTAATGATGTTGACAATTTTTCGCTTTTGATTTATATATGTTCGCAACGAAAGAGGTACAAAGTAAATACAGGAAATATTTTGCATAAATTGAGCATGAAATTACGCATTAAAACTTTTATTTGGAACAACTTTGTTAGGCGTTTATATTAGCGGAATTTTATTGAGAATTTTTCGATTAAAGAGTTGTGTATAAAAAAGTTGAAAAAGATTTTAATTTTTTTTTGTTAAGTGTTTTAACAAACATAATATTTGCCAAATTTAATTAAAATAAAATACATACATTTATTTCTAATTTACAAGAAATCGCTCATTGTTGGCTGCGTAATGGGTAGTAATTCGTTTACTAATATTCCTCTATTATAGTATTATTAATTTTTTCTTGTTTCGTTAAATTATCAATTGGTGAAACGTTCAAATCGTGTGAGTGTATAATTGGTAACTCAAAATATGTATACATGCATATCTGTAAGTAATATACAAAGCAGCATTATAAGCAAAATAAAATAATAAAGAATTCTTACTAGTAATTGGTTTTTTAGTTTGCTTTCTTTTAAGTGATTAAATATTACATTCAAAAAGTTATTTTTTGTATTTATTTTAAGCAGAGAGATTTTTGTTAAAAAAAAGTATTTTGCCTCAAAATGTTGCTCCTAATTGTAGGCAATGTTTTCCTTTAGTCTTTGTAGTACTTTTTTTTTTAAAGTGAAAAAACAAAAACCATATGACAGCGGCTAAGAAATAAAATTGCAATATTAAAAAATTTATATCAAATGAGTAGTTAAATTAAGATTTATAAATAATATAAATATTTTTTAAATCTATTTTAAAACTATAAAAACCGGGTCTGAGTCTATGCTATAAAGTAGTGGTATCACAATTGTAGGCAACATTATTTTTATTTTCCCTTAAGCTTTACAATACTAAAGCGTTACCTACATTTAGGACCTAAAAAAATATATTTTCCCTTATAAGAAAATATTATAAACTCAGTTTTGGGCTAACCTTTCAGGCCACAATTCTATATTAAACTCTTTCTTAGTGACAAAAACTTGCCTACGAGCTCTCTTTATAGTACAAATCATCTCACTGCAGAGAGTTCACTGCCTCAAGCATGCGCAAGGTATGAGAAATGCGCCAACAAACAAAGTTCCTAGAACATCTAACAAACAAAACTTCTGCCTGACGCGTTGACAGCCAAAAGCACAAAGAAAGTAGGAATGAAATTAGAAAAGTAAGAAAAAAAAGAATGCAAACTTATGTAGTTTTCCTAGCCACCCCCTAAATCAAAAACTTTTAAATTCAATTTCGTTGGCAAAGCTTGCGGCTATATGAAGCGTCCTTGCATGCCGAAGCCACCGCTGCATGTGGTCAAGGTGCGGGCTGAACTCCTTCAAGAACCTGCCAGCAAACCACACATACTCGTATATATATATATATAGAAAAGCATGGCATGCAGGACAGAATTCTATGACAAATACCGTTAAGTTGGCAACGCAACAAAGCAAACTTCCTGCTTGACGAAGTAACTGGAGAGACTTGTAGTTTGCTGAACGACTTTTCAATTGCAGAAATTCTAATCAGCCAACAGTGTATGAATTGAATATAGAAAATTAAATAGAGAAAATGCCTGGCGCCAGTCGGAAATGGTGATTGTCTGCTTTGTAGGTGTACTCAAACGTACTTGCATACGAGTATGTGCCCGCAGTCAGTCAGCGAAATTTTCGCAATTGACACATGACCACTTCGTGTTCTTGGCAAAGGTTACGCTGTAGGCGGATTTTTTTTTTTTTTTTTTTTTTTTTGAAACGGAAAGAGTTGTAAATAAAGAAATGTCACTTACACGTTAAGGTGGGCTTGTTTAGAGTTTAAATACATTTATTCGCAATACGAAATATAGGAAATGGGCTAACTGACTATAGACTTTGGAGACTAATCTTTAAACGACATCTTAGTTCGAGTCTCTCTCTACACCGAATGCGTACTCCAGTGTAGGAGTCCTTTCGAAATACGACAGGTTTGTTTACCACAAAATTCAATTGTTCTGCTCAAAATGCACGGAGATATCATACAGTTTTATCTTGAGTTTATTGTCTTTCGAAGCGTAACTGTCATGTACTGCGCGCAACACGCGCCTTGTCTTTTTATTTATGTGCACATTTGAACAATTTATGGTATTCTCAGTGACGATTTAGTGCTTGCCCTGTGCTTGCCCATATCAGTAGCTGATTGTGTTGAGTTTTTCTTGTCTAAGCATAACGTAGAACTTTTCAAAATCAGTAACTTCTTAGAAAAATATATATAATGCCAAATAAAAAGGTATGAGACTTTGCTAAAATGTGTCTGGAAATAGCATAATTGTAGGCAATGTTATTTAGATCCTACTTTACTGCTGCTGCACACGCTTGTAAAATTGAAATGTTGCCTACATTTAGGCGCTGGGATTAATATTTATTTACTTCCTGTATTTCTTGCATGCTGATTTAATTTTTAGCCCTCTCTTCCGCTTTTTATTTTACATTTTATTACTTTCTCACAATTTGCTCCAGATTTATACTTAATTCTTCATATGTATGTATATATATTCCAGTACCGATATTATTTATTTACATCTTTTTTTCTATCTACCATCTACTTATTGTCTTATTCACCCAAATATTGCCAACTATTATAGATATTTGTGAGTCTAAAAATAAATACAAAATAAAATATGCAAATCGCTAGACGCGCTACCACAACAAAAGCAAAGAAAATGAGACTTCTTGGTATGAAATAAAATGATGAAAAAAAAGTATTTGCTACAACAACAGCACACTGCTTCTACATATCTACCACTGCCCACCCTCACTTTGCATTTTTATAGTAGCAACTATTAAATTATGCTTTCTTTGCCTCTAGCGTATAAAACAGATTTGCACCTGCAAATCACGAGAATAACAAAAACGAAAATACCAGAAGAAAGGTGAAATACAATACAATAAAAATAAATAAGAGAAAGGATATTAAAGGATTGTTATTTTCATATTTGGCAAAGCAAACCTCTGCGCTATAAAGATGAAGTACACATACATACATACATACATGCATGCATGTGCGTGTATATAATCTATAAGCCACATATCCTCTACATACGCATATACTCGTATGCTTTCAAGAAGTTATGCTTGAAATGGAAAATGCAAATAATGAAAGGAAAAAACAAGCAATCGAATTGCATTTATTTGTGATAAATATTGGCTTGGAGCCGTAGCAGCAGCGCCACATAATCCTGGTACTGCCCAACCAATCAATATCCTCTCATACATGCCTAGCAAGCGCGTAGTGTGCCAAAATATTCATAGGAGCTAGCCATGACGCATATGTACGCACACACATGTATGTATGTATGTATGTATGTATGTATAGAAAAACATATAGTTATTTGCATTGGCAGCATTGATGGTTTAGTATTCGCACACATACACACAATAATCTCTCTATGCATACCTTTGGCCGCTAATATTTTTCTTTCATATAGAATTTTCGTTTATTTTACATAAATTTATGTTTATTGAATTTTGCAATTTACCATCACGCCAAAGTCGTAGTCATAACGTTATCCCAATCCAAGTCAAAAACAATAGTTTGCTCATAGATATCAGGCTTAAGGCTTCATATTGAGTTGAATACATACATATATGGAGGT